CATATGTAACAAATCCAAATCCACGTGGCCGTCCAGAGACCTTATCCATCATTATTACGGCATCAGTTATCTCTCCAAACTGGCTGAAATGCTTCCTAAAAGATTCTGGAAGGTAAAACACCATATACAGGACGGGGTTAGAGGAAAGACAGCCACACATCATGAAAGTAGGAAAGCAAGCAAAGTAGATGAACTTATCGAAAGGAAAAAAAACAAAGTAGATAACATAACACAGGTTACTCGGCAAACTATTATGAAGTCAAACCACTGTAGAAATTTGACAGTTTCTGAAACATGGAAAAAGAATTTGAAGAAACTAATTATCAAAAAGCAAACATAGACCAGAAGAATTTACTGTAGACGGAGAACATTAACTCAAGTACTTAACTGACTAAATACATGAATAATTAAAATGCCTCAATATCATGTTAGGAATGCATACTGCTAAAGGTTGTGTCTTTTTACTGTTTTCTCAAAGATACTCCAAAGAAAGCCCAACCCCAAATCCCACCCCCGAAAAGTAAACAGAGCAAGGACCAAAGTCAACAGTGTGAGTGCCAGCAAATACACCATAAATTGAATAATGCAAGTACTATAAGCACATCACACTGCTCCTAACCTAATAAATTAGTAATACACACAACTCAGGGGAAGCAACCAGCTCCCAAGTGCAGTTGCACTAATCTTTTAGCTGATGCCTCACGTTAGATACTAACTCATCCTAAAAGAAGTAATCACGCATTTTTAGGACCACTTTCCTCAAGAAACCTTTCGCTTTTCTCATAATCCAGATATCACTGAAACTCATGTTATGTCGTACTATAACAGTTAAGACCATCAATTCAGCAAGAAATTCTTGTCTGAAAAGAATCATGACACTATAAATTCTTATGAGAGAAGAGCTGGTACCGGAAACAAATCTTTGTGCATTATTATTGTTAAAAAGAAAAAGAAAAAAGACAACTTAAAGAAGATGCTTAAAAGTCCTTTTTCTTGCACCCAGGGATGTGGCCTAGTGGTTAATGAAGCGGGTGCAAAATCTTGAAGGCTAGGGTTAAATCCCAACAGAGTACACTACGTGAAATTTTCTCATCTGCCCAAGTCTTGGTAGCAGAGTTACCCAATACTTGTGTTAGTGGATGGTAGCAGGTACCTAGTGAAATAGTCGAGGTGCTCGCAAGTTGGCATGGACAAATGTTTCCATGGCAAGAATCTTCAGGAGAGGTGAAAGTCCCAGTTCATATTTCCATCTTTCTTGTTTAATTAGAGTATGGCTTAGTCTCAATATTTTGCCAAAAGATACATCATAATTTTTCAAATATGATGTTCATTTGTAACAAGACTTGAGCGAGTACTGACATGTGGCCAAGCAACAGAATTGAAGACATCTAAGAGACTTAACAAAAGGCCACTTAAGACACACTAGTGACATGTCAGATAAACATGTTAAGCATTCTTTATCCACATTGCTAAGCCAATTCACTATTTTCATGATCCAGGAATATGCCTAGGTCGAAAGACAATTGGTATAAACACAGCACATGAAGATACGATAGAAGGAACAATGTCAATAAAGGGGTAACCACAGTGCACAGAGGACATGCGCAGGCGCAGTGGGAAGGCCGCTGGGCTTAAATAATACACTGCTTATGTAGCACCCAAGTTTTTTGGAAAAAAAGAGAGTTAACTATGTCACAACCAAGGTATAACTGAAGAAAAAACAGAGCAAGTTGACAGCTGCATTAACTACTCAACCAAACCTTTTATGCGAGACTATTGGTACATAAACAAAAGCCATATTCTTGTCCACATCAAAACCTTTGATAATATCACTTTTTAAACTTATTCTTTACAAAATAAGACAGTGGCAATATGTAAACAATTGAATACATATCCATGTTCATAAGAAGGGAAGAATTTTGTGCGAGCACACTTTCAGATACAGCGAAACAAAGAAAGCACTTGCACAGCAACGTTAGTTGTACTTCAAATCAAATATTACTCTAAAAATGTCAAAACTGAAGCAAATGGATTTTCAGCAATCACAAACAGTTTGGAGTACAAAAAGAATTTCTATCATTTAAGGTAAAAACAGAGGGTCCTAGTCGCCAAGTAATATGCATAATTTTATACGAAGCAAGATAGCATCAATACCTTCGGTTGTCTCCCAAGCAATGCCTCCAACAAAAAGTTTTCTATCAACAAACAAAAATTACCATTATGTCGGCATAACCTCGTATATCTTTGTAAATTGCAAGAGGGGGTTTTCCATATCTACCAGAATCCCTCTTGTCAAGAAAATACAACAATTTGGTAAAAATCACGAGAAAAAACATTCTAAGACAAACCTATGACTTGCTATAAGCTAACAAGCTACTATAAACTAAGCTACTACAAACTAACCCTGCTGAAGAATCATCCATTGAATGCTTTAATTCATGGCTTTCTGAATATCTCTCTTGTTGCTCAGTTACATCAAAATCCATTGTTTTTATTGTTTCTCTACCTATGAAACCTGCAAACGGGTACAAGATTATTTCCAAAAACACCTCTAGTTTTGAGGTTGGTTTCTGTAATTTTCAGCTAAAATGAATAAACCCTAACTAAACCTTGACGGATTCCAGCACGTAGCTAGCTTTAGGTATTCTCTTCAGGAGATGGATTAGTGAGGAAAGGAGTTGAGTAGTGAGTTTTGTGATTGCTTAAACCCTAGCCTTTTGAGGTAAATGGAAAATTGCCGCCGAATGAGAGATTTCCTCGTAAATCAAATCAAATCAAATACTTCCACAGAAAAAGCAAGGACTTGTTGAGCTGCGATCTTTTCGGGGAATATTTCAAGCTTGGAAGCTGGTAAAAAGACTATAATGCTCTCTCCCACCCACATTGTATTATATTATTTTTATTAATAAATATTTGGATAAATAATTATTATTTTTATTACTATCATTTTATAATATAACAAATACGTCGTTATATAAAGTGACATTTTTTCTTGTTATATAACAACGAATTTAACTATATGATAATATAATTTAAATAACGATTAAAGTAAATATTATATTTAAAGTAATAATAGATATAATATTGGTAGGTAATAACCATCCAAACAAACTATTAAAGTCAAGTGGAATTAAATTTCATTCTTTTAATATTTTGTTATATATTTGGAAATCGAGGAAGGGAAAGAAAAAGGCGTTATTTGCACCTGTGGTCTTTTTTGAGACTACTATTCAAATTTTGTCCCTTAATCCAGTGGGGCAGATTTATTGGCTGTTTGGCCAAGCTTCTCAAATTTTAGATGTACTTTTATTTTCAAAAGAAGTGCTTTTTTTCAAAGTTAGAAGTGTTTGGCTAAGCTTTTGGAAGAAAAAAAAAGTGTTTTTGAAGAAAAGCAGAAGCAATTTTGGAGAAGCAGAAAAAAGTAGTTTTTTTTTCAAAAACACTTTTTTGATAAGAATTATTGAGAAAAATAAACTTAGAAGCAGTTTTTAAAAGCTTGGTCAAACACTAATTGCTGCTGAAAAGTATTTTCAAATTAATTAGCCAAACACAAACTGTTTCTCATCAAAAGTACTTTTGATAAAAGCATTTTTTTTAAAAGCTGATTTTTGCAGCTTGGCCAAACAGACAATTAGCTTGTAAAAGTGGCTGGTTGAGTTCTCTTTTTTGTTTTTACAATGTAGTTGGTGAAAAATTATCCAAATTGGAAGTTTCCATCAAACTATACTCCATTCGGTCCACTTTAATTGATTTTTTTGTTGATTTTATCTATAATTCATCTTTTAACATTAATTAATAATAAAATTGACTATGTTAACCTTAATTTATTCATTCGAATTATAACAAATACTCCTAGGCTCTTTACCCCGAAGGTTACTTTGGAAAAAAAAAGTTAATTCCTTCTTGATATATAAAAAAAATTAACCATAAAAAAAATAAAAAAATCAATTAAAGTGGACCTGAAGGAATATCAATCGAGGAGTATCAATTAATTATGATTAAGTGATTTAGAGATTAATATTGGAAGTTTCCACCAAACCATTTCACAAAGAACTTAAGGGTGTGTTTGGTACGAAGGAAAACATTTTCTGGAAGATGTTTTCCAATTTTCCCATGTTTGGTTGACTTAAATATTTTGAAAAATATTTTCCTTATCAACTCATTTTCCTCCAATTTGAGGAAAATATTTTCCTTATCAAGAGAAGGGAAAACATTTTCCAAAACTCCTTCTCAACCTTCCCCACCCTATCCCCCAACCCACCCCCACACCCACCCACCCAAACTCCACCCCATCCCACCTCTCTCTCCAAAAACGGATTTTTTTAAAAAACTTTCAGTTTTTTTTTTACCGTCACCACCAACCCTGCTATCCCCGCCAAACCCCCCCTCCCTCACTGCCCCACCCCCGCAAAAAAAAATTTTTAAATTTTTTTAATTTTTTTTTTTAATTTCAAATTTCTATTTTTTTATTTTTCTGCACATACCCCCTGCCCCTGCCCCCCCCGGGAAAAAATATTTTATATATATTAATTTTTTCATCTGTCGGTTTACAGGTTCGAAATTTTACAAGTTCCAAAGTTATGAGTTCAGAGGTTTATGTGTTTGAAAGTTTACGGGTTTAGAAATTATAAAGTTTACGGGTTCGAAAGTTCGCGGTTGTTACGCAAAAAAGTAAAGCAACACATTAGTTGCTTTGGGTTGTGTCAATTGTTGGAGACTTAGGGGAGGGGTGGGGGAGGGGGTGAGGAGAGTTGCATAAAAAATATTTTCCTAAAAAAAATATTTTCTCCTCTCTAACCAAACAATATAAAATATTTTTCGAAAAATATTTTCCACTCAGCAACCAAACAAGGAAAATAAGTGATAAGACCACCCATTTTCCATGAAAATATTTTCTAGGAAAACATTTTCCATGGAAAACATTTTCCTTCGTACCAAACACACCCTAAATGTAAATGACATTTCATCTACCAACAAGCTGTGATTTTTAGTCATATACCTAAGTTTCTAAGAGAGGACAGCAATTAAAAGACTCAAAAAGAGTGTAGTAGTAACAACAGCCGGTTCAGTACAGAGAACTAACAAAATTCTACTTCAAGAACTACTTTTTCATGTACAATGACAAAAAATAAAACTACAAGTAGAATTCAGGATTTGACAAATGTTGACACTCCTTTACAGCGTATGAAAGGGTAGTCCGGTGCACAAAGTATCCTGCGTTCATGCAGGATCCAGGGAAGGCCGCACCCCAAAGGAATGTACACCACATAAAATTGCTAGCGAAAACCATCAAGGGTGTACTTCCTTTTGCAAGGAACATCAATCTTCTAACTCTTCATCATCTTCATCGGCATCAAATTCCTCCTCCTCTTCTTCTTCATCACCAACTTCCGCCTCTTCTTCTACATCGTCTACAATGAAACCCCCCAGTGTTTCATCTACCTCATCCTCTTCTTCTTCTTCCTCAGATTCTTCCTCAGAAGGTCTAGTTTTCTGTTGTGGAGAACGTTTCTTCTTTTTTGCATTAGACTTGTCCTTGGACCTTGTCACGTATTTAGGTCCCTGAAGCTTCTTAGATCTCGTGAGCAGTTCTTTCTCATCTTCACTTTCACCGGTCCACTCTTCATCATCTCCCTCGCCTTTTTTCTTCCGTTTTCTCCTTGCACCCTTTTTGCCTTTTTTATCAGAACCCTCATCAGTGTCACTTTCTGCTCCTTCCTCCTCGATAAACCAATCCCAGTTCTTTATCTCCCGAATCATTCTCTTGGGATAACCATCAAATTCATGCCCCATCACCAGAAAACCAAACTCTGCATTTAGCAAAATACAAGCTTAATAAGCAGGAGATTCCTCCTAACATAGTAAAATCTTGGCTTAAATCAACTACAAAAGAATTCTATTTAAGTAGTCAACCAGACAATGTAAATATAGTCAAGTTACAATGATTCCTCTGATTGAATCAAAAGAGGAGAATGAGCACAGATGATGCACGCAAACCACCCAACGACAGTCAGTGGCGGAGTTCGAATTTTGAATAAGGGGATTAAAAAAATGTAAGAATGTCATAAATAAGATATGAACCTATGTCAAGGAGACTCAAATGGTTTATACATATATACAAAAATTTTGTTTTACCCTTTTTCCATAGTGTAACTTTCCGTCGAAGGGGATTCAATTGAACCCCTTCACCAAAAGGTAGCTACGCCCCTGAGTGGGATTGACTATTGCACAAGAACAAGGTGAACGCCAGAACTTTCAACAAGGTCGAACTCAAATCCAATTCTCTATTGGACGGCAACTACTCTGAAGGTTTCAGCAAAATGAGTCTCTATTTTCAACTCATACTTCGTACTACGTTTATCTTAGGTGCCAAAAAACATTCTTTTCAAGACGAACCAATTGGGTTTGTAAAATCAACTATAAAATTTTTTCTATTCAGTCAAATAATTAAATTACAATGAATCCTCTAAGGCACTGATCAAATCAAGAACAACAACAACAAACCTAGTATAATCCCACAAAGTAGGTCTGGGAGTAGAGTATGGGCAGAGCTTACCCCTACCTTGTGAAGGTAGAGAGGCTGCTTCCCCGATAGACCCCTTGACTCAGGGTAAAAGTGAAAAGACGCAAACACAAGTAGTAACAACAACAAGATAAGTTGAATAGGTGATAATACTAATGCTCCTGGAATGTAAAGGAGACACTCCCGCCTATCTACTAAGATAAGGCTATGACCAAATCAAGGAACAAAATGGATGCAGATGATTCATCGAATAGCCAACTAGTTACAGATTGATGGTAGTTAATTGAATTGATTGAATATTTTCAATTCACGATAAAAGTGAAGCAACTGGAAAATCAATTGAGCATTGGAATTGCAGAGGCAAAGAAACAAATAGCGGAAAAATCAAACCTTGAACAGGGTCAATGCCGGAAATATCAATATTCTCGAGGTCCAATTCAACCCCTACAGGACATAAACTACTCTGAAGGCTTTCAGCCAATTGACTCTCCATTTCCATCTCTTTCTTAACACCCCTTTGATCTTCATCGTCAAAATCAATTCTTTTCAAGGTGAACCAAATGGGTTTGTCGGCCGATACACAGAACATGTCACCATTCTCCATTTCGCCTTTTTCAAATTTCCTAAAGGTTCTAACTTTACCATCCTTGTTGCTGTATACCCAAATGGGGTTCCTTCCGATAACTTGAAAAGTAACCTTAGTTTTATCTTCTTGGTCTGAAGAGGTTTGGAGTTGGAACGAGATTTGACGGCGAGAAACGGTTCGGTCGTCGGCGGTGAACCCAAGCCCTCTACCGAACTCTCTCGTTGAACCGGTTTTCAGTAGGGTTTTGGACCCATCTATGCCTTCAAATTCCATTCTACAATCTTCTAAATTCCGGAATATTGAATGACTCGCAGTAAGTGTTACCCATTTTGTTTAGTTTCTGAATCTTTGTGCTTTTGAGTTTTGACTAGTCGGTTACACGATAGTATATAAAAATGAAAAGCTCTAAAGTTACCAAGAGAGAAAAGAAAAGGTACGAAAGGGATCATGGTGATTATGTACATTACTTAATTAAAATTATGATTAGTAATAAAGCATATTAAAGACATTCTTGATATTTCAACGTTGATACAAGATAGCAGTGTCAACTAGTAGGGGGTGTTTATGGTTCGGTTTGGGTCGGTTTTTTCCTAAAAAGAAACCAAATCAAGTAAGTCGGGTTTTCAAATATTAGAACCAAACTAAACCAATTAAGTCGGTTTTTTATCGATTCGGTTTTTGTCGGCTTTTTTCGGTTTTTCGATTTTTTCGGTTATTTATCGATCTTTTTTCTTAAATATGAGACATACACTACCTAACGCATATTCCGGCGACTGCATTTTCAACGTAACACTATCAATCAATTGCTCTTTGAGAAATCTATCATTTACCAAGATATATTGATGATAATTGAATCAAATAGTGATGAATAATTTAAGTACTCAATTAAAAATCGATTATTTTTAACATGAAATAAATTATTGTACTTAGAAAAAGAAAACTACCAAGCAAACTAGAACGTGAAGGCAAAGAATTAGATGATTATAATAGCAAAGAACTAGACTAAAAATATAAATGACTAATATGTACCATAAAATTTTAGAAACTTTATATAAAAATATACATATATATAGGTGCAATAATAAATTTAAATAGCTACTTTTGTAGTCGGTTTGGTTCGGGTTTTTTTCGGTTATTTTTTTATTAAAACCAAACCCAAACCAATTTTGATCGGTTTTTAAAATTCAAAACCAAAACCAAACCAAACTTAAAAAGTATCGGCTTTTTTTGATCGGTTTGGTTCAGCTTTCGGTTTGGTTCGATTTTTCGGGTTTTTATGAGCACCCTCATCAACTAGCAAATGATATTTTTGTTGTAAGATTGACCCATCTTGTAAAAACGTGAGAGGGTATCCGCAAAGATTGACTGAGTTGGTCAGGTAAATAATTTCCCACATGAAATTTTTTTGATCGATTTCCTTCACCAAACATCATTATAAAATCGAACTAACAAAATGGGTAACAGTTACTGCGAGTCATTCAATATTCCAAAATTTTCAAAAAAAAAAAAAAAAATCGTGAGGGGTAAAACTAGAAGCAAATTTGCCAGACAAGTCAGGCTTGCTCAGTTGGTAAAAGCACCTCCATCCACGACTTTGCCATATATTTGTAGAAACGGCAAATGGTTGTGTTGTGTTTGAATTCGATTATCCTCTAACCAACTTGAAATTTGAGATTTTGAGTCCACCCAATACTTATGACATTAAACCATCGTGGTAATTTTAAATCATAATGGAAATCAGATGAAGAGAAGAGAAAACTTTGATAAATGAACTGCTGAAGCCTTGGGTAACATTTTGTTGATTTTCTATTTACTCCTATCTAAGTTTCATTTACACAAAGTCATGCATCAATCGGTCTTTTCATTATGTGAGAAGATACAAGTAGGCAAGTATAGATTAAGAGGGTGTTTGGATTGACTTTTTAAAAGTACTCCCTCCAGTCTATTTTAATTATTTTTATTTTATTTTTTTGTGGTCCATAATATTTGATTTTTCAGATATAAAGGAAATTAATTTCTTTTTTTCAAAGTTGCCCTTGGAGAAAGAGCCTAAGAGTATTTGTTATATTTCCAACGAATAAATTAAGGTTAATATGGTCAACTTCATATTAATTAAAGCTAAGAGGTTGATTTCTTAATATGTGTAAAAATAGCCAAAAAAATTAATTAAAATGGACCAGAGGGAATAGCTTATAGGCTAAAAAGCTTTTGTGGTTTTGATATATTTTTATACTTTTCGTGCCTAAAAATAAATGCTTTAAAATACTTTTAATCATTGTTAAAAAAATATGTTAAACATCTCAAAAACTAGAGAAACGCTTAAAAGTCTATAAGCATTTAAAATAAGTTGTCAATCCAACACCTAAATAAATTCAGTCGTTGGCTTGGGCACGTTAATTTGTATCTAAGCTACTTTACTGACAAATTCTTACAATTAAATAAACTTGGATGTATATAATAAAAAAGATATGGGTAGATTAAAAATCACATTGATAAAAAAAATATCTCAAAAGCCTCGCAATCTGTACAAAATTAATTTAAATGTTGCTTAGGCCTCATTTGTTTGCACTTAATGGAGGTCTGAATCTTAACCATTCAGATCTCAGATATTAATTGCGTTTATTTTTAAAGTCTAAATCTTAATTATCCAGATCTTAATCATTAAGTATTTTTGTTTTTTTTACTTTACAACCACTTAATGAGTCTGAATAGGTCTGCATGATTAAGATCTATAACAGAGACTTAATTTCATTAAGATGCTATCACATATTCATTATTAACTGCCGCCACCACCTATCATTATCAATTACCACCATGCCGCCACCACCACCACACTCAACCACCACCACCACGCCACCATCATCCTCAATCATAGCCGCCACCATTATCGACAATCACCACCTACTATCCCCACCACTCCGACCACCATCATTCTCCCCCACAAATCAACACTCATCCACCTCAACTACCACAACTGACCACCCCCCATCAACAACCAACCGACACTGCCCATCATTATAACCTACCACCACCAACCCACCACCTTCCTCAATCACAACTATTACCACCACCCGCCATTGTTGACACGTGATTTTTGACCCTCTCCGAAATTTTACCTATTTTAGCATGTAAATATTTAGTTTAGGCCTAATATCGCCATTTCAACTAATTTTTACTATTTTACTTTATTTTATTACAAGAAAATGGAAAATTACAAAAAATAGGTTTATTAATATTTTATAGTCATTTTTAATCTTAAAAAAAATAAATATAAAAAAAATAGTACCCTATCTTTATTTTTATAATCTTGAAAACAAAAAAAAAATAATATAGTTTTATGTTTTATAGTTTAGTTCAATTAATTAAAATTAGTTTTGTATTTTTATATTATAATTGTACATAATTTTAGAAGAAAGAATTAATTTTAGGTTGGTTTATCCCGTTTTTATAAATCTTATAGTCCATTTTTTAGTCTTTGGCCCAAAATCCCTAGCCCATAGTTCCTAGGCTCATACCCCTAACCTAATCCCTACCCTATATAATACTACCTACACCACAAACACATACACCAAAAAAAAAAGAACGCCAAAAACCTTAGGAATCCGCCGTTTCCTTCATCCTCCACTTCTCTGAAAAAATAAAAAAAATAATAAAAAAGCCAAAAGTTACAACAGACAAAAAAGGAACACCTGGGGAAAAAGCTGAAGAAACGGAAGAAAAGGAATAAAAAGAGATCGGGAACGAAAGAAAACAGAGGGAATCGAGGGAAAAAGGCTAACAACACCATTAAAAGCACACCAAAACAGCCGCAAAAACAGCTCTGTTACCTCCAAATATCCAGCCATGAAAACCAGCGAAAAGAGCTCTGTCTCCACTCCAAAAATGAGCTGGTAAACATCCCAAAAACCATGGTCGAACAAGGTCAGTCGAGGTTGCCGGAAAGTTCCCGTTCGTAGTCAATTTTCGGGGTCTTTAAGGTTCGTCCCTTTACCTCCTGCTTCAATAAAATTTCTGCCTTGTTAGTAAATGTCCTATTGTTCTTGGTCTGCTAGTTTTAGTTGAATTTAGCATATTTTTTTTATAAAAAAAAAAAAAAAAAAATTTTGAAAAGCTCACTCAAGACCCACTTTCTTGTTCATTAACTGCTTGTTTTATATTTACTTTTGCCTTTGATAATTGCTTTGAGTGTTTTACGTGTTTATTTCATTGGATTTGCATACAAAATTGTTTCATGTTGGCTTTTGTGTTTGGATGCTTTTAGAAATTGTCAGAACATTGAAAGGCATTCATAAGCATTTTTGTCCATGTGTTTTAAAAGTTAAAAGGGTAAAAGATGAACTGGAAAATGGACTGCTAAGGCAAAAGTAGGTTGCGGATTACTTGGTTGGAATTGAGAAGCGTATTATTGAATTTCGGGATTTGCCTGGTTGCATAAGAATTAATTTTGGACCCGAATAAGTTAGTTAAATTTGGCATAGCCCGACAATAATAAGAGACGTGAAAGCTAGCCCATCTTTTCGTAATGGCTAAAATTATACATTTCTTTCACCATAATTTCATATCCATAATCTTATAGCCTTCACAATAATCTCAAACTAGTTTAGGAAAATAGCTTATGAGCATCCGTAGTTTTGTTTTAGTTGAGTAAAGCCCTTTGGAATAATTTGAGGCGTGCCATGCCAAATGAAATCTCAAAACCCATTGCCCTCATTTAATTAATGTTAACCCTTTAGAAATCGAGGCGCGCCATTTAGCAAATTTCCATGGCCCTCGCAAAGTTAACAACGCGTAGTTGCTTTAGGCGCGTTATTTTAATTTTACTTTCCTAAACTCGGGTGCGCATTTCATGCAACCCAAATCCAAATCCCAAAACGTTGAATAAGAGGTGTTGAGGATCCGGGTGCATTTCATGTAACGTGATCCAAAAACGCGCTCTTAAACGGCGTTCGCTTTCGTAAAAATAATAACTAAAAGCGGTAAATAATCCTAAAAATTGCACTATAGGTTTGAACATGTATGAAAATCGGATTTTTAGCCATTTATGATAATTTAAGCGACCGTGCTAGAACCACGGGATCCGGGGGTGCCTAACACCTTCATTCGGGTCAACAGAATTCCTTACACAGAATTTCTGGTTCGCAGACTCCAATTGGGAAGTCGAAATTTTCCTCGATTTGGGAAATTAAATCGGTGACTTGGGACACCAAAAGCCAATCCTATCCCAAGTGGCGACTCTAAAAATAATAAATGNTGGGGAAGGGATGGGGGAGGGGGAGGGGTGAGGAGAGTTGCATAAAAAATATTTCCTAAAAAAAATATTTTCTACTCTCTAACCAAACAATAGAAAATATTTTCCGGAAAATATTTTCCACTCACCAACCAAACAAGGAAA